TTGTTGGTCAACTACCAATTCGTAATTATTACCCTCGCCCAACTACAATAGATCTACAATTAGAAAAACGCCATTATGAAACTCCTTTCTCCTATTCAGGCAATGACATACTAGAATGGAATCTTGATGGCAAATCAAATTACCAAATTCTTAATCTTGGCCAACATATGGTGATGGCGGCTAATACAACCCTTGCCAAAGACCTTTCCAATAAAAATGATAGTACCGTTGCTTGAATGCTTATTTTAGGGTTTTTCAGCCAACTCAAAGGTTGGTGGGATAATTACCTCACCCAAGACCAACGTCGGGCAATCTTAACTGCTGTCAAAAGAGACCAAAATGATATTCCCATCATAGATCCCACAACTAGGCAACCCACTAGTGATGTAGTTACCACCCTTGTTACTGCTATCACACAACACTTCATTAGCAACACTCAAATAGTTCTTGAAAGATCTAAAGAACTTCTTATCAATTTATGTTGCCAACTTTAAATCATTTTCGATAGTATAAGGATATCTTCCTCCCCAAACTCTATCAAAGGCATGATGCCAATCAAGACTTTTGGAAAGAATAGTTTATCGCTGGACTTCCTACGCTCTTTACCGAAAAGGTCAAAACCAAAATCTGTGCTAGACATAATGGTCAAATTCCTTATAATCAATACATATTTGGTGAACTCATATCTAAAATCTGTGTTGAAGGCTTATCATTATGCAATGATATAAAACTCAAAAATCAATTAAAAAAGGAACGTTCTATTGCCTGAACCAAACTTGGCTAATTTTGTTACCAATTTGGTTACAATTCTATTCTTCCTCCTGTCTCTGGGTCTTCCTCCCCCAGAACCCCTATCCGTAAATCTCGCAAATATTCTACCAAAAAATATTACAACAAATCTTCAAACTACAAAAAGAAACATTACTACAAAAAGAGAAAATTTCCTAACACCAAAAATATATCTAAGTCCAAACCAAATTCCTCTAAGAAATCTGCTAATTGTTGGAAGTGTGGCAAACCTGGCCACTATGCAAACAAATGTCTCACCAAAAAAAAAATTCATGAGCTTGATGCTTTAGATGAACTCAAAAGCCAATTAGAATCAATTCTTCTTCTTGACAAAGAACCCCAATCTGAATCTAAATATTCCTCTAACAATCCTTTTGATAATGATTTCTAACTTAATGAAATTGACAATGATATTATTACTTCTTCTGGTGAAGAACTAGAAAACCATCCTGAAGAGTCTCACGATTGCCTGTGCCAATCAACAACTAATTATTATAAAGCTATTTAGAAATGAATGATTTAAGTATTAATGTTCTCACGGCACAAGAAAAAATGATTCTTGAATTTATTGATAGTATTGATGATCCTAAGAAGAAACAACAAGCTATGTTTAAATATTCCAATTCCAAACAAAGAAATACAACAACTACACACTCTACTAATGAATTAAAGTATGATACTTACGATTTTAAAGATGTTCTATATAGAGTCAACAAAGTTCCTACTCCATTAAATACACCAACAATCCGAGATTTACAAAATGAGATTCACAATCTCAAAATTGATGTTCAAAATTTACAATCTCCTGTCCTTGGTTTAGAAGAAAATCCTAGTGATACTGATGATTTTCTTGCTGATACGTCCTTTTTCTTATGAACCACATCTCCAAGAATCATCCAACAAGAACCCTACAAAACAACCATTAGTTATTAATGATTCTGTCAATTTACTTGTAAATAGCATCACATTTCAAAAATGGTATATAAAGATCAAAGTTGCCATACATGATTTTGTTTTGACCACTATGGCACTTGTCGATTCCAGTGTTGATCTCAATTGTATTCAAGAAGGTCTTGTACCTTTTAAATATTTTGAAAAAACTGATCAATCTCTAAGTACCGCTAATAGTGGATCTATGGATATTAATTACAAAATATCTTATGCTCAAATATGCAACCAAGGTATCTGTCTCAATACTGAATTTTGTTAGTCAAAAATATGTCTCAATTAATTATATTAGGAACTCCTTTTCTTACAATGATCTCTCCTTTCACTGTAACCAATGAAAGCATTTCTACAACTCTAATTAATCATGACATAGTTTTCAAATTTTTATTTCCTCCCCGGGAACATGAAATCAATTCTTTAAGAACAAATCTTATTTATAAACAAAAACAAATTTATTTACTTCAAAAGGAGATTTCTGACAAAGTTGTTGACCAAGAATTACAACAACCCCATATTAAATCTATCATTCAAAAAATCCAGTCTTTATTTGACAAAGATTTATGTTCTGAACTGCATCATGCTTTCTAGCATCGCAAACAACATATGGTTGATCTACCATACGAAAAGGATTTCAATGAAAGACAAATTCTACTAAAGCTAGACCTATTCCAATGGACAAAAAATTAATGGAACATTACAAACAAGAAATCAATGACCTCCTTAATAAAAAAATTAATTAGACTCAGTAAATCTCCATCTTCATGCCCTACTTTTTATGTTAATAAAAATGTTGAATTAGAGCAAGGCACACCTCGATTAGTTATTAATTATAAATCACTTAATAAGGTTTTACAATGGATCCGGTATCCAATCCCCAATAAAAAAGATTGTTAAATCGTGTATATGACGCAAAAATATTCTCAAATTTTGATATGAAATCTGGTTTTTGGAGTTCAAAGTACCAATAAAGACAGATACAAAACTGCCTTCACTATTCCCTTTGGCCACTATGAATGGAATGTTATGCCTTTTGACCTGAAAAATGCTCCTTCTGAATTTCAAATTATTATAAACGATATTCTCAATCCTTACACAGCATTTACAATCGTTTACATAGATGATGTATTAATTTATTCTAATTCTATCTCTCAACATAGCAAACACTCATATAAATTTTATAATATTATTAAAAATAATGGCTTAGTCCTCAGTGCTAAGAAAATGCAATTATTTCAAACATCTATTCGATTTTCGGGTCATATCATTAATAAAGGCACAATCATTCCAATTTAGAGATCCATTGAATTTGCTAGCAAATTTCCTGACGAAATTCGTGACAAAACACAATTACAACGATTTTTAGGAAGTTTAAATTACATCTCTGAATTTTACAAAAATATGCATAAATATACAAAAAAAAAATTATTCTCATCAAAAACCCCTCTTCTTGGACAATCGAACACACTATTGTTGTCCAACGTATCAAACAACGAGCAAAATTCTTACATTTATTATGTTTACCAATTCCAACTGCATATAAAATTGTTGAAACAGATGCAAGTGATGTTGGATATGGTGCAATACTTATACAACTTTATCAAAGTAAGGAACAATTAGTTCGTTTTACCTCTGCCATATAAAAAGAACTGCAAATACAGTATTCTACTATTCTGAAAGAAATCTTATCTATTGTTTCTTGTATTAAAAAATTTGAATCTGATTTACTCAATCAAGAATTTTCATTACGTATTAACTGCAAGGCTGCCAAAGAAGTCCTTGAGAAGGATGTTAAGAATATTGTTTCTCGATAAGCCTTTGCTCAGTGGCAAGCCATTTTATGTGTCTTTGATTTTCAAATTGAATATATTTGTGGTGACTCTAATTCTCTGCCTGATTTTCTTACTCATGAATTCTTACAGGGATCTATAGACGTCTCCACAATATTAAACCAGTCCCTTCTGATCATGGTTATTATACCCATAATAATATTTATCCAATTACCCCAATCACCACTGATCATTCATCCCATTTCCTTAAGCATGCAGATGCCAAACCCAAATCCATTATTTCTCATTACTTTCCCAACAATTGGCACTGTATACAACACTCTGGTCAACACTCTCAAATCTGTTATGAAAAAATTCTCGAGAAAACCCACTCCATCACAATTGATCATGTTTTCTCTAAGGAAGACAAGAGTCTTCTTCAATATTCTAAACTCCATATTCACAAAATTATTTCTCCCGATGAATGGAGACATCCGTCAATTTTCCGAAATTAAATGGTTATAGTTTATAAAATTTATATTTGTCAAAAGGGAAATGCTACTCTAGCCCAAAATAATGATGTGACAATTTATTATAATATCTAAAGTAATTCTTTTTCTTATATTTTCTCTAATCATTAATCAATCATCTCACTTACAGATATCTATTGATTTATTTTGACAAATATCTTATAATTTTAACCCAAGAGAAAGATAAATTTAAAATATTTTGTTTTAAGATAAATTATACCATTAGTCTTTCTAGTTTAAGTAAAGTGTTACTTTAGTATTTGAAATTTCAATTTGAAGTTTTATTACAATATTGTCCCTCTATTCTGTATTGTTAACTTTTGAATGAAAAGGACTGCATGCAAATTAGAGAGATCAAAATAGAATTGGGACTCTCTCTCTATAATTTATTTTGAATTCCACTTTGGTCTATATAATTTTACACATGACTTTTTATCAAAATCTTAGCAGTAAATGACAGGAGAATCACATGACAACAAAACTGAAAGTATTGAATTTAAATTCTTCAAACAAAAATTACAATGACCAAAGTAAAATTTTGCTCAAACTCAAAAGATGTTAGTGTAATTTAGGATTTGAGGTTACTGTTGCACATAGCAGTGATTGTTGTGCTTCTTATCGAGCATACTCCATGTTCTATTTTGATGATCTATACCATTCGTTTTTAAAAACATCGAGTAGAATATCTACAAAAAAAATTAACTTCATCAAATATCGGTAGCTCCTTTCATCTGATTACATTTGTATTCAATTTTATACTTAAAATCACACTTAGTATTTATGTTTTTAACATACAAATGTGATTTGATGAAACTATTATCAATATCCGATTAACTTGATTTTTATAAATACTCAATTTTTATTTTTTTTTAAATAAACCGTCTAAACTATGAAAATAGGATACGGACTGGGTCCCAAATCTGGTAATTTTTTTTGATAACTCAGGTATCCCCAAATCTGGTAATTTACCGTCAGTTTTGTCATTCTTCTATCTTTTTGACAATATTTTATTTTTATAACTTTCCCTCCAAAAACTAATATGAAAACCTAACGGAAATGCATTAACAGTCAGTTATAACTTCCAAATGCATTTATGCATTTGAAAACAGCTTTGAATGCTAAAAATGACTTCTCATTTACAGTTTTAGTCTTTGAATTAGGAGATGAAGAGAGGTGTATTAGACTTGTTGATGTCACTGACTCGACACAGATCGATTCAAATCTTGATCTCCATATCGTTTCTTTACATTTTCATGGTGATTTTGGAAGAGCCCTTCACGCTCAATCCTGGGTTTAAGGCAGTGGTTCAAGAAGGCTTCAATGGCTTATTCAACGACTCATTGTCTCAGTCATTTGTGATTCAGAGAGAAGAGAAATTGGAGGAAAAAGAAAACCCAATTCGATCCCCAAAACCTTTCAATCAAATCTTATCGAATTTGACTTTCGATAGCAATGTTGTAAACAATGGAAGCAAAGAAGGGTTTTCAGGGATCGAGAAATCGGCCATGGAGGCTTTCCAAGTGGGGAAGAAGCTCTGGGAAGAGCTCGAAAAGACGCCAGATAATCGAACTGAGTCGTGCCCAGATTCGCTTTTGCTTTCAGGGTCTGAATTCTCGGGGACAGATCGAATTGTGGTGCTTCCATGTGGGCTGAAATTGGGATCGCATGTAAAGCTTGTGGGGAAGCCAAGAGAAGCTCATCCAGAGCAGACACCGAAGATTTCGCGGTTGAAGGATGGTGGGATTGAGACGGTTTCGCAGTTCATGATGGAGTTGAAAGGGTTGAACAGTGTCGATGGAGATGATCCACCGATGATTTTGCAATTCAATCCGAGATTGAAGGGAGATTGGAGTGGGAAGCCTGTAATTGAGCTGAATACTTGTTATAGGATGATGTGGGGTACGGCACTTCGGTGTGATGGATTAAAATCTAAGGTTGATGATGAAATTGGTAAGTGAATTAATGGAGATTTTGCTACATTATTTGTTTTTTAAAAAAATAAATTTCATTCAGTTGGGTTGAATAGATTGCATATGAAATTAGTTGTACAATGCACATAAGTTTTTGGAAGATAAGCATGACTATGCAAATATCTTTAGCATTGTAGCTTAGTTCAATCTTACTTGACTAGTAAGCAGACATAGAAACTAGCTTATATACAAAGCTAGTAAAGCTTCATTGATTGTTGAGATGAGGGTAGTGAAATTGAAAAAAACTGAAATCTTAAAAAAGTTGTTGGTACTGTAGTAGTGAGATTCTGAATTTTCTTTTCCTTTCCGTCCCTCACAATCCAAGGAAGAATGAAGGGAAAGTTTCAAAAGACATTTTCATTGTTTTCCATCTTTTTTTCAGACTTTCTGTTTTTGTGTTGTTCCATTGTTAGATTATCCTTAATTTAGGCTGTTCCCTTCAATAATATAAGCATTCATACTAACTTATCCGTGAATAATAATCACAAAGATGACTAATGCATTTTGGCTCTTCACATTTATCTGATTATTCCTCTGAAACTGCCCATTTTGGGTAACTTTTGCTATTCAGTTGATGGTCAAGTGAAATGTGAGAAATGGACCAGCAATAACAACTCTGACTTTTGGCTCTTCACATTTATCTGATTGTTCCTCTGAAACTGCCCATTTTGGGTAACTTTTGCTATTCAGTTGATGGTCAAGTGAAATGTGAGAAATGGACCAGCAATAACAACTCTGACTTTTGGCTCTTCACATTTATTTGATTATTCCTCTGAAACTGCCCATTTTGGGTAACTTTTGCTATTCAGTTGATGGTCAAGTGAAATGTGAGAAATGGACCAGCAATAACAACTCTGAGGAGTCAAAGGGAACATGGTGGTTGAAGCGGTTAATTGGACGAACAAAGAAGGTGACTGGTGATCGGCCATACCCATTTGCAGAGGGCAAGCTGTTTGTCCTAACTCTTATTGTAGGCTCGGAGGGCTATCATGTCAATGTCGATGGGAGGCATGTCGCCTCGTTTCCTTATCAGACTGTGAGTAAAATCCTGCAAAACCAATATTTTACAATCAATGTGAATTTCTCTTAATGTAGTTTTTTTTTTTATTATTATCTTCACAGGGATTCGCATTTGAGGGTACCACTAGTCTATCGTTGAACGGTGATATTGATGTCCGTTCCATTTTCACAGCATCCTTGCCCACATCACATCCCCGTTTTGCATCCAGGAGGTGGCAGACCCCACCTCATCCTGACGGGCCAGTGGAACTATTCATTGGCATCTTTTCAGCAGGTAACCATTTTGATGAGCGGACGGCTGTGAGGAGGTCTTGGATGCAGCACAATCTTATCAAGTCGTCCAATGTGGTTGCTCGTTTCTTCGTAGCACTGGTGGGTACTACTAGGTGAAGAAACTGATTTCATTTGTGATTTGAATTAGCAAATCATTTGTTTAGTTTCTTTGACGTGAAACTGATGTTTGGACAGCATTCAAGAAAAGGAGTGAATATAGAGCTAAAGAAAGAAGCAGAGTTTTTCGGCGACATTGTTATAGTGCCTTACATGGATGCTTATGACCTTCTTGTTCTCAAAACTATTGCTATCTGTGAATATGGGGTGAGTATTGGAATGCTGTTAAATTTGGAAGAGGTAGTCCAATACGATGCTAATCTCGTTTGACGTTTTTGTTTGGTTACAGGTTCACGCAGTGTCTGCAAAGTGTATAATGAAGTGTGATGATGACACATTTGTTAGGGTGGATACAGTTATGCAGGAAGTAAAGAAAGTCCCAGATGGTAAAAGTTTTTATATGGGAAATATTAATTACAATTTTAAGGCCTTTCGTTACGGGAAATGGGGGGTCAGAATTGAGGTAACACAACACCTGAATCAATTGACTATAGAATCTTGATGTATTTTTTTTCTTACTCTTTTCTGGTGCTTCAGGAATGGCCAGAAGCAGTTTATCCGCCTTTCGCAAATGGGCCAGCCTACATCGTGTCATCAGACATTGCACGTTTTGTTGTATCTGAGTACGAAAAACATAAACTAAAAGTAGGTTAAAATACCCTTCTTGCGAATCATGGGTTCGTTATTGTGATTGTTAACTAACTAGTTCCAATCTTGTGCAGTTGTTCAGGATGGAAGACGCGAGTATGGGAATGTGGGTGGAACGGTTCAACTGCTCAAGGCCGGTGGATTATATCCACAGCTTGAAATTCTTCCAGTTTGGATGTATCGAAGATTACTACACAGCGCATTACCAGTCTCCGAAGCAGATGATCTGTTTATGGAAAAAATTGCAACGTCGAGAAAGGCCTCTGTGCTGCAACAATAGATGAAAATTGGCGTTTGATGATAGAGAATAGAAAACAAAGTTTTGCAGACATAGCATCACATACTGTGTATATTCTGTGGAAAAAGATTGATTGTTCAATATGCTTTTGGGCTACTCAATGTCCTTTAAAATTCATTCATTATTATTTTATTTTTCTATTTTCCTTTCAGAATAACAGTACTCTCGTGTGTCCTATTTTATGGTTTAATTTAAAGCATCACAATCAATAATACATCATTCCAAAACAGAAAATTGAAAATTGAAAGGCCTCTTAATGATGTTTTCGATGTCGTGATTGATATTTCATTCTATCATCATAATAGTAAAATAGTCAATTCTCAAACGAACTTCGATTGTCATAGTTGAGAAATTTTGAGACTCAAATCACAAGTTTAGGTTTCGTGACTTTTAAAAAAATGGGATTTTGATTACAAAAATGCAGGTGAGTTCATTATTGTAGATAGATTGAGAAATTAACAGAGACGCTATCGTAGAATAGAATATTTATAAATAAAAAAAAAAGTTATTTGTAGAGAGTCAAATCTATGCAACTTCATTGCACATACAGATATTTTTGTAAGGAACAACCTTACTATTAAGCCTAATCTTACATTCCAAATTCCAATAGAATAATATATAATAGATTCTTCTTAACTGGGATTAAAATTAGCATCTTTCTAAACCCTACTGCTCGCTTGGAAAGCCAAAACAATAAAACAAGACCTATGCAAAAAGAGTCTATTCCTCTTTTAGGTATTAAGAATATAAACCGACATGTTTGGTTCGTGATAAAATAAAGTGAGATAAATTGTCCACCGAAGAAAGGATATTTTGTCATTTTATGATAAAATTCTTATTCTGGAATAAGTTATCCCATCTTCTTAGACAAAATAATTTCACATATGCGAGATAAAATGACATCTAAAAAATTTCTCGATTTTGATCTGAGAATTCACTGAGTCACACTCACACACCTTGGAGTCTTCCTCGAGTCATACTCACTGCTGAGTCCGGTCCACCTAGTCCAACCAATCAAAGTCAAATAATTATAAAGAGTTGGTGCTTATAAAAGTTCTCTTTTTTTGAGTCCTTGTGTGAATGCAAAATTTAAAAACTCGGCATTTCTCTGAAAACCCAGAAAACAAAAAGGAAGAAGAGAGCAACAACAAATGAAAATGGCGGTGATTGCGCCAAAAACAATGGCAGAGATGTGGACAACGGTGGGCTCAACGATAGCTAGTTTCGTGTTTGTTTGGGCAATCATCTGCCAATACTGTCCCAACGAGCTTCGTCGCTACGTAGAAAAAAACACACATCGACTAGCAAGCTTTTTCTATCCCTATATTCGAGTTTCCATCCACGAATTCACTGGAACCCATCTCAAGCGCAGTGAAGCCTACGCCGCAGTGGAGGCATATCTCAGTGTGAATTCATCTAATAGTGCTAAGAGACTCCAAGCTGAGATGGGAAAAGACAGCAAGAAGCTAGTGCTCACAATGGATGAGAATGAGAAGGTGACAGATGAGTTTCAAGGAGTGAAAGTTTGGTGGGTTTTGAGCAAAATTGTGTCGCCACAACGGTCCATTGCGTACTATCCAGAGCCAGAGACACGATTCTACAAGCTTACGTTCCATAAGCAATATAGGGAGATGATAAGCGAGTCATACCTTGAGCACGTGATGAAGAATGGGAAGGAAATTGGAGTGAAGTTCAGGCAAAGGAAGCTTTACACAAATGGCGGTACATATAAACGGTCAAGCCTCAAACAGACTATGTGGAGCCACATAGCCTTTGAGCATCCGGCTACATTTGAAACAATGGCAATGGAGCCAGAGAAGAAGCAGGAGATCATGGAAGATCTTCTGACTTTCAGTCAAAGTAAAGATTTTTACGCTCGGATTGGAAAGGCGTGGAAACGGGGATACCTACTATATGGTCCCCCGGGCACGGGGAAATCTACCATGATTGCTGCAATGGCAAATTTGTTGAATTATGATGTTTATGATCTTGAACTAACCGCTGTTAAAGACAATACAGAGCTAAGGAAGCTATTGATAGAGACTACAAGTAAATCTATCGTTGTGATTGAGGATGTTGATTGCTCACTTGATCTTACAGGTCAAAGAAAGAAATTAGAGAAAGCTACAGAAGACCAGAACGAGCAAGGGAAGAAGGAAACGTATCTGAAAGAACCGAGGGAAGAGAGTAACATCAGCAGAGTTACGCTTTCTGGACTTCTGAATTTCATTGACGGCCTCTGGTCTGCTTGCGGGGGAGAGAGAATAATCGTTTTCACAACTAATTATATGGAGAAGCTCGACCCTGCTCTAATAAGAAGAGGACGGATGGACAAGCATGTTGAGCTTTCATATTGTAGTTTTGAGGGATTTAAGGTACTTGTGAAGAATTACCTTAAGGTAGAAGCACATCCGTTGTTCGAATCAATTAAGCAATTGATCGACGAGGCCAAGATTACACCTGCTGACATTGCAGAGACGCTAATGCCCAAGTCCCAAAGAGAAGAAGAAGAAGATGCAGAGAAATGTCTTTCTAAACTGATCCGAGTTCTTGAGGATGCAAAGAAAGAAGTGGCTATGAAGGAGGAATCAAGAGCAAAGGATGATTCCCTGCTGCAAGACAAGCAAGAAACTGAAAAATCATTGAATTAACGGCACAAACTATGTTTCTAGATACAAATCTTATATATAAATATTCAACTTGAAAAGTGTCAAGATGGGCTTTATTCACATGTAGAAATAAAGGCTTCATTTTGGGATTTTGAGCACTGTATCACTGCATCTATCAACCATGTTATGCAAATAAAGAAAGCAACCAATCCAACTGTCACGTCAACAAGAGCATGAAATGTGGAACTAGAGCAGATAGAGTAAGAATATAAGTTACCTTTCAAGGGAGGATGGTTCCATTACAACAACGAAATCAGTTTCTAAAATTTGATCATACCATCTACAGACCCAACCAACCCAGAAGCTTGGAAGCATATCATTGCCATGACCAAGGAACATAAAACAACGGGGCTTGAACATCTAAAAGTAAAAACTTTCGGTTGTAATGTGTTAAAAAGGTTATTGTACAATGAGACTGGATAAGACAGGACTAAAGAAATCCCAACAAATTTCCCATTCATTTGCCATAGGATTCTTTGAATGTGGGCATACTAAAAAATGACTACTCAATCTACATAATGTTCTCACCATCGCGTTGCTCCCCACTGGAAATCACGAAGAAACTGAAGTAACTCTCTAATTGTAACTTCCTGGGCATATAGCAAAATTTATAGATTATGTATCATACAACCAGCTTTCGCGAGAGAAAGCGATATAACCTTCCTGTGGAGAGGGAAGCTTTAGAATTCATCTGTATCTTCACCTTTCATTGTTGTGTTGGGACCATCTTCAAAACCAGAACATGGGGCAAGTTCATTTAGGTCAAGAAATCGTCTTTTTCTTTCACCTCTGATTTCATCTTGGCCCGGGCTGTTTGATTTCTCTGGTGGTTGGTTTTGCTCTTTCTCTACTGTCTCAGGAAGCTCTTCTACAGGTTGATCTTCTTCTTTTATCTCCTCATTATCATTATTGCCCTCAGAGTCCTGACTTCCCATTGAAAATTCAGCATTATTATCAGTATCAGTACGTTCATCCGATGCATTCTCAGGTTTCATCGATTCCCCTTCTGACTCCGACGCTTCATACTGACTATAATTGATACGGTTTCTAGTGGCCCTTTTACTACGCCTTAGACCTGACTGAAGCTCACCAACTGACCTTAATTTAGTTTCCCTCCTAGTGCGGCCTGGCAATTTCTTAAATCTTTGGCGCTCATCACTATCCTCGCTCATACTCGAGGAATCATCATCAGCTTCTTCTTCCTCTTCTTCTTCATCTTCATCTTTTTCTTCATCCCCATGATACTCCTCATCTCCTTCAGAGCTGCTTGACAATTTTCTCCTTTGTTTCCGCTGCCTCAAATATTCTTCATCATATACAGCTTCTCCAACTATATCATCATCACTATCATAGTCAGCATCATTGTCTGAAACAACATCAACAAAATCTTTTGCTGAATACCGTTGAGGCCTCTGTCTTCGCCGATTACTATATAGCACAAGATATCAGTTAGTGTTTGGCTGAATTATGGCAACGAGAATTTTAGATAGAACGAAGTAAAGGCTACCTGCGGTCTGCTAGTTCAGGGTTATGGTCCATATCAGTTTCATCATAATCAAATGACTTTGGAGATGGAGCGTCGAAAGAGTCTTGATGAGGAATTTGAGGACCACCACTCCACCTACCATTTATAGAAGCATCAGGGTTTGCAGCGATTTCTCTTCTGACAGTAGGCTCTGGCGATGGCTGTTTCTGCCTGATTTAAGAGTAAAGCGAAACAAATAAGTAATTGTTAGCAAATACATTTAAAAAAAATTAAAAAAAAAAAAAGAAAAACAAATTCCTCTAAAAAGTGTATGGATCATGTAGTCCTATACAGAATATGAAATGGTGTTGCCTCGGTGACAAAATTCATACTTGGTCAGCTTGATAGCCTCATTGATCGATCGGTCATAATCATCTGCAAAATGGTTCACCACATCAGTAAGCTATACAAATATCAAACCTCACATAACAATAAAATCAGCACAGTAAAAAATCACCCACTATGATGTTGCCACATTATATTGTGGATGCACAGAACCATATAAAAAGAACCATAAATAAAGGGCATAAGAAAGTTTCTAACAAGATTAAGACAAATCTAAACAATATGTTCAACGAAATAGACAAGAAAGCACAATTAAGGAATTAGTATTATTCTCCTTCCAAATTTCAGCCAACACTACTATTATATTTTTCCATCACGTGAGCTACAGAAGAACTTGCACAATGGAGGCTTCTTATAATGGGGTGCATTAATGCGGCATATCATGCAACACAAAATAATTTAATCTAAATATCTCATTACACTTAAATTGAACCAAGGGGCACACACACCATCACATCTGCCCCAAACAAATGGAAGGATGTGTCATCTACCAAAAAGTTGATTGCATTCGCAGGTGTAAAGAAATTACCAACAAATAAAATAAAATAAAATAATACAAAAATCTGCAAACTGCAAATTCTCAGATCAGATAGTAAACATAAAACGCTCACCAGTTTGGTGAAAGACAACAGATTTTCCAGAAGGAACTAAAAATAGCCCTGCAAACCCCAGCATTCCAGCATAAAAGGGGAAAAAGAAAAGCTGTGCTTTGAATCTTTTTTAGTATAGAAGGAGTTACACTAATGTTTGTGCTTATGTTTTTGGTAAGAAGACCAGATTAAAACAGGGAATGCTAATGTGGCAACACAAAAAATGCTGAATTTAATCATAGCTTATCAATTATCAGTAGAAAACCAAGAAGGGTTATTTTGATGCATATAAGATTAAGCAAAAATAATAGGGAAAATGAACAGAGTCAATTTCATACTCTTACCAAAAGTATATGTGACAGGTTTTCTATCACGAAGGGAGCGTCCTGGAGCAAGCCCATCCACATTCAGCATATTATCAAGAAGAAGAGCTTGCCTATGCTGTTTTTTCAGCAGCTTCTCTTTCCTCTGTAAAAATGATAATTGAAAAACTTATAGATTTCATAACACCAATATAGATAAATAGAAATAAATATTATGCGATCTTTAAAGAGAATAACTGATGAGAGTAAGTCAAGAAACATCTAAAAAAATAGATCTCTAAGTCGAGAAAAGTGGAACCAGTGACTACCTTATGGACCTTCTCAATCTCTGGGAGCATGTCATTCTTCAACTTCTTCCCAAGTGAAGCCTCAGTTCTATTTTTACTTGAGAAAAGCTTCTCCTGCAAACAGAAGATGGACAATTTGTAAGTGAGAGGACAAGTTTATAATTTAAATCAGTGTTAAATACCAAATATCAGCAAGCGATAACATTCTTCATCACAAGGTAAGTGGTTTACAGAGCACTTTCCATGTCAACATTTTCAGATGACTGCTTTAAAATCTAGAAAATATTGATTGAATTCAAAAATCAGTAGCAGCAAATGGCCATCTAAAACTGTTTTTTCTTAGAATAATTTGTTGTCTAATGTGTAAATATCAAACGGTTCAAAAACAAAAGTGTAAATATCAAAGAAAATCATCCACTATAATTTTTTATGTTAGGCATTCTTAAATTCCTCCAAGAAAGTTTTACCATAGAGGCCAAGAGTGAATAAATCAAAAGGAAGCACCTTGTGTTGGGTCTCTCTCTCTCTCTCTCTCTCTCTCTCTCTCTCTCACACACACACACACACACACAAGAAAAAAAAGAAAAAAGAACAAAGAACAAACTAATACAACAAAAGGAGTGAGGAGGAGGTGTTATTAAGGGTGAAAAATAACTTATTTGATGATAAAAGGAGAACAAAGAGAGAATTGAAGATTTCTCCAAAAATATGAGCGCAGGGTGGGAGGAACATTACAAAAATTCTACAACTTAAATAAAAAGAACAAGGCCAGCATGTAAACTCCTACAAAGTCCTCCAATGTAAGATACTTTGTCCAAACCCAAAGCTAGGACATCCATTCCAAAATTGAACCATCTAGGAGTCCAATCAATGGACCAAATATACATCTTTGAGATATCAGCCACTCATTTGAAAAACACAGTAAAACTAAGAGCTCTTCAAGCTTAAGCATAAGGCCCTTGAGGCACTGATTTTTTTTTTTTTTTTTTTACTCTAATAATATAATCTCAACCATTTTGAATTGAAATGAACATATGATGTTGCATCCACACTAAATCATAGCATATAACAAAGGGCTACATCTTTTTTTTTAATTTGTTTTTTAGTTTTTTTTTTTTTTTTTTTCTATGAAGTTAAGAACTTTTTTCTTCATTTTGGCTAAGCAACTGATACTTTGGCTACTGTTGGAAACAAAATTATTGTTGAGCAGTTAATCAATTCTTTTGCCTTTTTATGTCTCCAAATGTTAAAATGTTAGTATTCGTTGGATTTCTTATGTATTTGTTGAATATTGATATTTATGAATATTTAGTATTTAGAATGTTGGATGCATTATGCTTTTTGAAATTATTGGATTTTTTTTCTTTTTTTTTGGGTAAATATCCTTAGTGTTTCTCCTTGCTTCGATGAAGTCATCACCTTGCCTCATTGCCTTGCACTTAGGCCTCATGAGATCATGCTGCCTCAGTATGCTTTTCACCTTAAGAAACACTGATAAAGTGGTACCCATGCAACTCACCCCCCCAACAAACAAAAAAAAACTCATTTCCTAATGTAATGAAGGCAGTTTCTTATGAACTATGCAACACCCACCAACTTGTACATTAATGTACCATACCCCACTACGTCACTTCTCGTCTTTAGCACCCCAATATCTCTGAAGGTTAACAGTTCCATAAATCTCTAAGCCCAAGTACCAAGAAGATAAAGCGGCAAATGAACCAATCTATTAATGAACAACTCAGACTCAGCTTGCCAAAAGGCTAGTTATAAGGACAAAAGCCCAAGTTTATGCCCCACTTTTGGGTTTGTTTTTTAACGAGCTAAGCTCAAGAAACTCCTGGCTCTGCTCACCAATGCATCAAAATAGGACAGTTAATATCTTGAAGATGCTTCAAAAGGTGTGAACCCACCAAGGCCAATCAATATGCATCGAAAGGAGTGGTCAAAAACCATGAAAAGTGTAAAAAAGAGAGCGGCTTTGTAAGGCCAATCAAAGACTGATATTTGTTCACTATAACACGATAAAGGTACACTGATTTGCATACATACTTTCTCAAAAGAATCTCCATTTATTCCTGATATTCCTGATCTGTAGAGGAAGATCATATCACTCACTTTCATCTCAGATCTGGACATGCAGTCTGTCTCTACCCATAGAATACTTCAACACACTTAGATCATGATAACAGGAAGGTTTCCTAGGAATTACTGTTTTACCAACATGCATCCTTCCTTTCCCTTTACCTAATTTTCATCAGAAAATACAGTGGCAGTAACCACTGAGCATGACTAACCAACAGAAAACCAGGAGACAGGTTTGAAGCCTAACTTTAACGTTCAAATTTAGGACTAACTGTAGAGAGCCATTATCATCAAATTGAAATGAAGCTTCAAATTGGGTGGAACACCTCCCATCCTTGTGCAGATCCCCCCTCTCCAAAACCCCTCCTCTGCTCCACCGTCAATCCCCTCCATTTTATCCTCAAATAGTCAGATCACTTGATCAAGTTAACATCATCCTCCAAAAGGTTCTCAAAAACCTGCCCTTTCTCCCCTTCTGAAAAATCATAACCACAGACTGCCTCCCCCACTACTAAAACTAACCTTCCTACTACAACACTAACCCTAGAACTTCATCATATACAACCTCCCCAGCTTCTCTCCTGGACCCCTCCTTAACCACCCCATCCGTTTTTAACAGACCAACCCCAACACCTTTCCACAACTTTTCTTTTCTTTTTTCTTTTTTTCCCCAGAATTAAGCTTAATTGTTTCAGATCTGCTCATATTACTGGGTCAAAGATTCAAAGATTACTACACTTGGACAACTATCCTGTTTGAGTCAGGAGTTTAAGGATGTATGAATTTTATCTTTTCCAATTTTAATTAAACTTCCCTCCCTCCCTCCCCTCTCTCTCTCTCTCTCTCTCTCGTCCTCCCTTTGTTATCATCTTTGTTTCAATAAAATTGTTTTGTTGCTAAAAAATAAAAACAACGCCCAATTAGTACACATTAATGTGTTTGAGAGGGGAAAGATTGAGTACACACTTAACCTTTGGCATAGTACACAAAATGGTTGCTCTGTGACTTGAACCAATAACCTCAAGGTTATTAGGCCAAGATTTTAACATTGAACCAATGGTTACCCCGCATGCTTATCACGTTGAACAAAGTGTATATTGGTGAGAAATATGAATAATTTCCTTCTCTTACCCTCATTTTGTAGTCACATTCTTGTCATATGACTGGATTCTGTTAAGATTTAAACAATAGAGTAACAGAAAGGGGATATTGACACTTGTGCAGGGATTAAAGTAAGATTTGACCAAAAGGCATGGGGTTGGCTGTCACAATTTCACATGTAAGGACCAAAGTGAGATTAACCAAAAGTGTAGGGGATTAACTGTCATGACCAACATGAGATTTGGTGCAAAGTGCAGGGGAGCAAAGTGTAATTTACCCAAAAAATTGTCTATAATGAGATCATTCAAAAATCAGAGCAGACATACAAAGGAAAACTAGGCTCTGTTTGGACTGGCTTTTCATGGCTCTTTTTGGAATGGCTTTTAATATAAGGGTCTCTTCTTTTCAATTGAATTTGGCAGTTACATAGGTTTTTTTTTTCCCATTCATGGCCATTTTCAATTTTTGTAAGTTGAATTAAGGAGGAAAAGGTATACATTTAAATAATCAAATGCAAAGGTTCTGAATTTTTTTTCTTATGTAATTCCATTCCTTCCCCTTCCTCACTCCCTGCTCCATCCAATAATAATAAGGAAAAAGGAGAAGAGAAAAAAAAAATTAATCAAAAATAACATTTGGCAACTTTGCCATAAAATTACTTGTTTACAAAAAAAAAAATATATATATATATAGGGGTTTTTTTAAAATAAATAAAAATAAATAAATAAAACTTGTTTGGTATATATATGTTTCAAAACCTGTAAAAACAAACAATAAAACATGTTTGTTGAATGGCCGGAGGTAGTGGTCGGAGGTGGGGGTAGCCAAAGGTGGAGGTGGCTGGCAGTGGTGGTGATTGGAGGTGTTGGGGGGAGGGAGGAAGGAATGAAACTTATTCTGAAAACAAGCCAAAACTCCTTTTTCTTGATCCTTCAATTTTTATAATTTAAAAATGTTGCCTTCCCAAATGTATTTTGTTTAATTTTTAAAAACAGAAAATGAAAACATTACTAAATGAGCCAGCATCTAGACATGTTTAAATACGGAAGGTTCAAAAAATAATAATTAAAAATAAATAAATTAACTTACAGAAACATCTTGAAATTCATCCAAATTAGTTGCAACTGTTTCCCACTGGTAAGATGAACTAGGAATTGGCTGTACATTCTTTCCTTTTCCTTTCTTCACCTCCACTTTTCTAATCTCTCGGTACAACCGATGACCAATTATGGGATCATCTTCATACCTACACATCAAAAAACAGATCAGCAGATAGACAAAGCATATACTACAAATCAAATACACAACATAACAACAGTTACCAAAAACAGTACTCCCTCCGTCCCAAAATAATGGTCCCTTATGGGGAATCCAACTTTTTTTGGTAGTACAATTATTGTACTTTTAAAAAGTTGGTTTTCCAAAATTACCCTTTGATAGTACACTTTTTTGAGAATATCAATGTCATAATTGTACTTTTTATATTATTTATGAATTTAAAAGAAGGGTAAAATGGGAAATTTATATTATTTTTGTACTTAATTTTTGAAGAGGGACTAATATTTTGGGACAATGAAAAATGGAATAAGGGACTAATATTATGGGACGGAGGGAGTATTATTATTAGTTTTTTTTTTATCAAAAAACAATAGATTTTGTGGACCTTCAACAACCAGTGCAAAATCCACAACAAAAGCACAACTATCTTACCAATACGAGATTCCATAAGAATCACCCCCAACACGTTCCTTGCGGAATGCTGAAAGTTGAACACCATGTTTGATTGAGTCATCTATATAGTTCCGAATATCTTCTTGCTGCAAAATAAGACAATTATTTCCAATTCTTCTGTTATATGCTTCAAATCCATCATTATCTTAGCACTCAGATCATTTATTACTAAAACATATCTTTGTATTTTATTTTATTTTTAAAGACGAAAACATAACTAATGGCAAATAATTTGACAGTTATATTACTACGGTTGGCATTGTAAATTTTGAAAAATTACATATAATACACACTTTCATATGACAATAATAAAATAGAATTACAAAGTACTAGGATAATAAAGCATGTCTGCAACCAAAAAAAAAAAAACATTTCTAGCTATGTTATGCAAAAGAAAAGTTTTGAAGAAATTGTGAAATCATACTGCTAGATGAAGTGGAAGCATAAATAGAGAAATAAAATATATACATCATATTTATATCATTCTGCATTAAACAATGCAAACTTTACATTAGCTTGACATAAAAACCTTTGGATGATCTAGAGCTAAAATGGAAGTCACATTAGCATATTGTCACAGCACAAAGTTGGGAAGAGCAGTAAGTATTCAAAAGTAAACAACTATTTGGTAATGATAATACCTCGACTCGGATATCACATAAGGCTTTCAAAATCACCACACGAACCCCAGGATCGAGTGAATTATATGCTTCAATCTCAGCCCTAACATATGAACAAGGTAAACCCATAAATATGCATTAAGTCCATAAACTTGAATTTTACGAAGATTCAAGATAGCTTACCCATGTGATGCAACTATTGGTAGCTCCCCTTCTGCAACCTGCAATAAAGTTCCAAAGTCATGTTAACTAATTCATGTGCAACACTGTCCAGCATTAGCTTTAAAAAGCACAGAAATCATGCTACCCAATGCCACCAATCTCTCAATTTTCGGCATAGAACAGTAATCCAAGTATTATGTCCAAGGGCCATTCGAGTAACAGGAGGGATTGCCTGTAGAAAATGAAACAAAATTAATAAACAAAGCTTCTTGCAGCAGTAAATCACCACCGCTATAAATATATCTATTGCACAACCAAATCACAAATTGTATCACAATTGTGTGGCATATAACTGCTGCTGGTTGCTTTTCAAATGTAATCTTTTGGTGCTAGCATTTAATTATGCACTTCAGATAGGGTTTCTTTAGCTAGGCTCTAGTGATTGATGTTTATTTTGTTGCCTACTCTGCAGGTCCTTCAGGCATGTTTGCTTTTGCCTAGTCTCTTGGCCAATCTCTTAAGCTAGACTTTTAAGAATCTCTCCTTTGATGATGTGTTACCTAGCGGGGTGTACATTGAACTTTATTGTAATATTTGATTTTGGTAATAAAATACTTACCCCAAAAATTATATATCTTTCAGCCTCAAAAACCTAAGATATTCAACCCTAATCAAGCCTTTCTCCTGCTGCCCTAATTCAATTTAGGGGTCACTACTTGTAGGTGAGTGCTTCCGCGCTCGTCCTAGTCAAAGAATGTTCTTCAATCTCCATTGTATATTTATTGCAATTTCAACTGTAGCATGTTTCAAACATCAAATTAGAGTTTTTAGAATTCCAACCACATAGCTTTCGAATTTCTTTGGTTTAGATTCTATAAAATTAATTTCTATTTGGTCCATTCAATACATAAAGGTTATTGCTTTTCAAAATTGTAGTTATATAACTGGACAATTTATGTTAGAACTGTTGTTCAAACTTCTAAGTCCCATAAGCAAGAAAGAAAACTTCAATAGAAACATTGTTGCTTGCCTACAGCAATGTGAAATTGATGTAAATTGCCATTCATATGTAAGACATGCATCAAAAGAAGATTGAATCCACTTGAATTATGAAATACTAATTACATGTCAGCAAGTTTTGCAGGGAAACATGTTAGCCAAATAGAAAATAAAATTTCATATCAGTAGATCAAAAGACAGTTGACAACAATAACAACAATCTCAACCCCCAAAAGAACTTTTTAAACCTTATGTATCACGCAATTAAGTCTATATCTTATTGCACCCCAGATATCTCACTGATATATCATCAAGGTCCATTTTCCATTTGCTGAATCCCCAAGTCTAAGACCCACACCACATATAATTTTCATTCCAGCCTCAATATGGGTTGCTAACTAAAGGTATCTTGATTCAATCCAACTTTAGACAGAAAATGCAGTTTTTACTTGCCAAGTTTGTGGATAAAATTGGTGTCCTGATTTGTCCATCTCACCTTAGGAGGAGAGACCATCATTCAACTTCCAATATCCTCTATTAAATCTCATGTCATGGAATTTTTTCGAGTCTTTTAAGTTCACATAGCTAGTTCCAATATAAAATAAAATTATCTTGCTCGCAAGCAATAAAAGAAACATGTTTACACTAAGTTTTCCACTATACCAAAGTCAACCAAACAGGATTCCCTATAATTGAAGGACACCCATACCAACTTAGCCAAATACGCTTAGACAAACTGCAAAATAACCTGAAGCCCATCTGATCAAAAGCATCAGTACAGAAATTAGTCTTGCAACTATCAATAATTTATTAGCTAAGAAAGCCAGAGGGTTTCTCAGCAATCTATGATCTCCACCAACACAGTTAAAAGAGGAAGAAAGACTGTGGTTAGCGTCTTCCTTCTGAACAAGTGGAGGCAACCCTACAAACTCAATTTCAGCCTGATAATCATCAATAATTAATTCTAAGCTTGGAAATTACTAAAAACATACATCTAAATTCGCAAAGCAAAAAAAGAATTGCAGCAACACTCGACTACAATTAAAGAAAACTCCATATTTCCATTTACCTAAAGGTGAATACCATTAAGATTTAGAATACATTCAACATATTTATATATGTGTCGATGAAACTCAAAGATTATCACATTCTCATACAGGGACATTTATTTCTCAGTAGTTCTGCAGTTGATTACATCTCCAGGATAGTTCAGCCGTCCAAACAAAACAGCAGAGAACTAAAATGGCATTGTTCTGACTGTCAAATAATAAAATGTGGATAAACACTCACCGAAGGAAACAAAAACAAATCAAAGACTAGATTTTCAATTCCAGTTCCCAGTTTTAGAAGTTAAATAAAGCAACATTTGATTTCATAAGCAATAGAAATACCTCAAAAAACAGTGATAAAATGATGCCTATAGTTCTCAACCCAAAAATGCAAAGAAGGAAAGCTCAATTTGCACACAGCAAACTAGTTTTGTCACTTGGAAAACACAAAGTAATTTCTTCAAAGTAGAGCACCAACCTTCAACAAAGGTATATGTATATCACCCAAAGTGTTGTTTGGGGTAATCAACGCAGTCTCAAACTCCTCTGCTGAGAATTCAACTTTAATATTCAAATAGGACCTAAAAACCTACAAAAACACAATCCATAAGCCCTACCCCACCTCAAAAAACCCAAATTCCACAACAAAGATTCAAACTTTTTCTCAGCTCACATTCAAGAAATTTAGAATTGAACCCAATTCCCACATCGACCGTAGACTCCACCTCGGCAACTGAGACGGCGGCGGCTCCACCGTCAGCGGTGTTACAATCTTACATTGCGGCGGCGGCGGCGGTCGGGATGGCTCCGGCGACTTCTCCCGCACCCGGTCCTTCCTGGCCGCCCTCTGCTTCCGCTCCGCCGCCGCAGCCTCCGCCGCATACAACCTCGCCGCAGCACGTGCCGTGCACGCCCTGGAAGGTCGCTCCTTCCTCACTATATTGTTGATTCCATTGTGGGTATTTTTGTTTTCGATGTTGTGATTGTTTTCGGAGTGTTTTTGGTGATGTTGTTGGGGTTCGTGGTCATGGGGGTGGATCGGAGAGGAGGGTTCGTCGGGCATGGTGGGGAGATCGGGAGGGTTGGGATTGTGTACGGAAGGGTCACATCGGAGATCAGGGGATTGCATTGGAAAATCAACAAGATGAAGTGAGGGGATTGGAGAGAGAAAGTATGGGTAGAGTGAGAAACAGAGAAGAAGAATTTGGGGAGAGAAAGAGATGGGTTTTGGAGATAAACAGATTGAAGCTCCAAAGAACCATCTCACATGTCTGTGTGTGTCTCTGTGTATTGTTGTATTGTGTTCGACGATGGAAGAGAAAGTCCAATGACGAAGAAAAGAAAGTGAGGAGAGAGAAGGGAAAGGAGGACAATAATCGGAAATTGGAGGAGAATTAGATTAGATAGATGAGGTTAATTTGGGTAGATTGGAGGAGAATTAGATTAGATAGATGAGGTTAATTTGGGTAATAATTAATTTCATCTGTGTTGGTAAATGTGGTATTTTTCTCTCCTGATGATTTGATATTTTTGTTGTTTTTTTTATGGGTCGATTTTGATTTGGGTTTGGGATGGTGGATTAGGGCAAGGAGGAAGCAAACATTGCTAGGGTAAGGTAAGGTTAGATGAAAAATCAATTTTGACAAAGTTTTTATCAAGGCGTAAACGGTTCAGTGCAGTTAGGGGTGAAATCGATTCAGTTCGGTCGATTTTTTTTACTAGTTTTGCATCGAACTGATCATTTCGGTTTCTTATATTTGTGAACCGAACTGCCCAGAAAAATGACATAAACCGGCGCGGTTCGATTTATTACGGTGCGGTGCGGTTTTTTCGATTTTTCGATTTTTTTGCCTTTTTTTCCCCTAGTTGAGCCTCACATTTTGGGCCCATATTTCTATCCATTTTGCATAAAATTTGGGCTCAGGCTATGTAATTCCTACATAGGTTTGGGGCTTCACATTTTGGGCCTATTAATATTATATAAGTCGGTTCGGTTCGGTTCGGTTCGGTCCAAAAAATCAAAAATCGTAAACCGAACCGAATGTACAGAAAAATATAAACCGAACCGAACCGAACGATTGAAAACTTAAAACACCGACCGAAAACCGTTCGGTTCGGTCGGTTCGGTCGGTTTAGTCGGCCCTTCCGGTTATCCTTTCATCCCTAAGTGCAGTGATATTGGCCCTGTTTGGTAGGGTTTATTTTCAATTTATTTCAGCTTTTAGCTTAATTTAAGCTATTTTGATGTGTTTAGTTCAGCTTAACAATACAGCTTATAACTTTTTGTAAGTCAAAAATCAACTTATTTTTTGAGTGGGGGACGAGAAACTTAATTTATAAGTCAAAAATCAGCTTAGTTCACAGTTATAAGGTATAAGCTGTTAGGCTACACTTTCCCACAGCTCTACCAAACATCGTAAACCGAACCGAATGTACAGAAAAATATAAACCGAACCGAACCAAACGATTGAAAACTTAAAACACCGACCGAAAACCGTTCGGTTCGGTCGGTTTAGTCGGCCCTTCCGGTTATCCTTTCACCCCTAAGTGCAGTGATATTGGCCCTGTTTGGTAGGGTTTATTTTCAATTTATTTCAGCTTTTAGTTTAATTTAAACTATTTTGATGTGTTTAGTTTAGCTTAACAATACAGCTTATAACTTTTTGTAAGTCAAAAATCAACTTATTTTTTGAGTGGGGGACGAGAAACTTAATTTATAAGTCAAAAATCAGCTTAGTTCACAGTTATAAGGTATAAGCTGTTAGGCTACACTTTCCCACAGCTCTACCAAACAGGGCCATTAAGGCCTCGCTTAGGAAGCGACCCGTTTAGCTAAAAAGTTAAAAAGTCATTAAAAAAATCAAAAAAGTCAACAATTCATACCAAAAAGTCAAAAATTTTCTTTTCTCTCTACTTTTTGCACATCTTTTCGTAAAAAGTCAAAAAATCATCCCAAATATACTAGTTTTTTTTTAGCTCATATTTTAGTCAAATAGTCAAAAAGTTACTAAATTAGTCTGTTCCCAAACGAGTCCTAAGAGTATATTTAGTACCAAATTGATCCTTTCAATTTTTATAATTAAGAAATCGATACAAATTGTATGCTATGGTTTGATTTTATCAATTTTGTTGATTTGATATAAAAGAGAAATTAAATGAAATTTTAAAAAGTTTTATAGCAAATTATAGAATTTTACATTGAAAATAAATAAAGAAAATATATGAGAATTGCTCTATAAATATTTTTTTCTCTAATTTTTATCACAAAAGTGTATTTTATTAGTTATTTCTCATATAATGTTCAAGAAATTATTATAAAAATTTTTAAATATAATATTCAGTCAATTCGCTTTGCATTGATATAGAAAGTTTCAAAATCAAAGCAGACCATATGTATGAAAAACATACTGAAAATTAAAATTTCAATCGGTCAATTCGGTTTTATCAGTTTTTCTTGCCTCTCTAGTTTTGATTGGGAAGAGTTTTGGCTAGTTTAATTTTCATAATTTAAAAAATATATATATATAATATTTTAATAAAAAAAACAAAAACACTTTTTGTTTTTGTATAATTTTATCTTCTAGTTGATCAAGAATAATTTTTAAAAAATTTAAAATATCTTTTTAACATTTATTTTTATTAAATTATTTTTTAAAAGTTGAAATATTTTTCTAAAAACAAACCAAACGTTTTTCTTTTTCTTCTTTAGTTTTAAATTTTTTTGCAAACGGTAGATTTTAATATGTTAGTAACTTGGATTGCGACTATAGCACTCCGTACTTCATGATATAATGGAATTACATTTGGCTATTTGATTATCATAATTAAGAACCTTCTTAGTCAATGTTTGAGCCTTAATTGATTTGTTACCATAGTGGTTAGATGAGATTGGATAAAAAACTCCAAATTCAATTAGTTATTATTTAGTAGTCTTCACTCTTTTACCATTTTCTCTATCCACACTTTGAATCTTGATGTGAGGTTAGAACCATTAGAAAGCTTACTTCCGAGGCTTCAATGGAGACACAACCCTAAATAGAATCCAAACGAGAGAGTTATATCTATTTGAAGTTTGCAAATCTATATTGTGTGTATAGTTTGCTCGAGCGCAAGTTTCACTGCTTGAGTGGTCCATAGACCCTTCCAGCTCTGTTTTTCAAAATTGTCTAAGATATTGGAAGCCTCGATTCACCGCTCATGCGCACTATTGACCACTCAAGCGGTCTGTCCAGAATCAAATATTTAAAAGTCACTTTTTTGGTCAAATCTCTTTCACTTTTCATTCCCTATTCTCTCTCTTTCCACCATTTTTTGAGTTTTCAAGTTCTTTAACCTTGATTTCATCTATTTTTAAGCATCTTTAGCCCATAGTTCCATATAGAGGTGAGCATGGTCCGGATTGGTCCCGATTGGTCTGGAATAGGGTAAAACCAAGATCAATCCGCTATCTACAGTTCTGAAAAATTGAAACCAATCTAATCCGTTTAAACAAGGATTGGATTGGTTTAGAACTACGGATTCACATAATTAAATAACAAAAAAAACATTGAACATTTAAAAACAATAAACAAAAGCAATAAATTGAATATTGGAATTCAAGATCTAACTTGAACAAATCCAAAATCCAAACAAGGAGCAACAAAATGCACAAAATCTAACATGCATTATAGTTTCCTCTAGGATTTGCATATGGATATATATATATATATATATATTCGAGCTGCCTAACTGGACCCCATAGTCTTCTACATGATGGACTCTGAATAAACAAACAAAAAAACACAAAAAAAAAAAAAACAATGAAACAGAAGACTAATAAGAAGCGTTAAACACACACACTAAAGCAAAAACGAAAATGATATGGTCCACATACATACTATATGCTAAATTAATTGAAGAAAGGGTATAAATTTTCGGTGAAAACAACCAAAAGTGTTCCAAAATGCAGATTCCAAAAACACTTTCACCAAGTACAAAGAAAACAAAACATCAAAGCTTACTTTGGGGAAAGAAACAAAGAAATCCATTTGGGTCTTTTCCAACAATCCCAAACCCACAACAAAGATAAAATAAAATTTAAGCAGAAGCTCCAAAATCTAAAAGTACACAAAGGTTAAGATGAATGAGTAGAGAGAAACTAAATTGAAGTTTCGAATCACATAATTTCATTATCTATATATGAAACAAAATTTTGTCTTCCATTTATTTTCTGATCAGCCAAAGGAGGGAATGGAAAAATCAGAGACCAAGCCACTACCACCGATCTGATCTGAGATGAAATCACAAAAATAGAGAGAGAAAACTTAGTTTGAGAAAGAGAAGAGAGAGACCTTACTAAGTCTAAGAAAGAAACCAACAAACAGTGTTACCGAGAGAGAGAGAGATAAATAGATAAAGAGACCAAGCCACTACCACCGATCTGATCTGAGATGAAATCAGAGAGAAAAAGAACTCAGTTTGAGAAAGATGAGAGAGAGAGAGTACCGAAAAAGAAATGAGAGGCGTGTGATATGTTGAATTAGGGTTAGGGTTTGCCTTTTATATGGAATAAGAAATGATATTATGCGGAAGGGTGTATAGTATAAATATACATTATTTGTGTAAGGCTCAAGAATTTCGTAACAAATTTATTAAATAAAAATTATCCTTTTCTTGAAGAGTTATTCTAATTTAATGCATAAGATATAAAAGTTAGGCACACTTTAAATTAATCATTGTTTACAGGCCTTGATTAAACTAAATCCTAATTAACACTAATCCTCACAATTAGAATAAGGAGACTTCTAAAGGCAATCTAGAATTTTGTCCTCACTTGATTGTTTTATTCATGAGTGTGTATATATAAAAATAAAAAAAAATTAAAAAAAAAATAGGGAGAGGGGAGGCCGGCCAAGTCAACCCTCATGGGGAAGGATTGATTTTGTCTTATATGGAGATTCATCTCAAAAGTGCAGCCCTCTTAGCGTACTTAACCAGATTTTTCTTACCTTTGAGTGAAGAGATGGGCTGTCATGAAGGTGTTTGTTGGGTAGACAACCTCCACAATGGCCATACATGCATGGATTCTTTTACCAAGTAATTTCTCCAAACTCTCCCTCTTATTTTAGTCTATATATGAAACACAAGCTTCCCCAACTCTCTACTTACAATTTTTGGCTGGAGCTAGAGGATAGAGAAGGAAATGAAGAAAAGAGAGAAAGGAAAGAAAGAGAGGAAGAAAGAGGAAAGAATGAGGAGAATGACTCATCACTTGAAAAGTCTTCAAAGCTTTACTAAGGTAGGATACTTAGAAATACTCCACTTCTTTAAGTTTTGGAAAATGAACGCAAAACAATCTGATATGTCTTATAATACATAAAGAAAGCAAGAACAAACTCAATAGGAGAGGCCTCTCCCTTGCATGCCTTAGATAAA